CTATGCATGGTGGTGGCAATGATTGGAAATCATTGCATGCTAGCAGTCACAGATTGGATAGTGGGGGGCTTCATGCAGTTTCCACATGCTGTGTTAGTAGTGGTATGACAACATTAGATATGCATGATCACTGATAAATGTCTAAAATCTCATAGGATGAGATTTGTTTCATCTTACGCATAAAATCAGATGGATTAGTAGATTCATGTAACAAGATCTTAGTTGTTCTCCTGAAATGAACAGTGTGTATTGGCTCAAATTCATGAAAAGGGATAACAAGGTTTGATGAAGAAGCTTTTAAACACACTATCTGGTGAACCTTAGCTGATAAAACTTTTGGCAAAGCTTCTCTATTATTTACTGAAGAGTGTGAGGTGTTTAGATGCTTTAAAATGCATTTATACAAAGTTTTTTTTTAGGGAAAACCCATAAAGGGTCCTACACTTTGATTTAAAAAAAAAGTATTACACAGTCCTTAAAGGGACCTCAAGATCATAAATGGTCAAAAGAGATACAAAAAGAAAGCAAAAAATTCTTAAGAGCTTGAGTTCCATACTACTCAAAAGTACAAGATCACCTAGTTACAATCTATGGCGGAAAAGAAAGAGCATCCAAAAAAGAGGAGCAAAAAAAATAGCAAGAAGCTCTATGTTCCCCTCACAAGTTCCACCAGTTCGAACATCTGCACTAAAAAATTCTTGCAAAAAAGGTTGATAGGTAAAATGGACATAGCAAAATTATAACCAAAAAAAGATTGGTTGATAGTCCAAGCACAAATCCACACAAGTAGTAGCATAATTAATAAGTAAAAAAATCAGAGTCTAACTAACAACTTGAATACACTTAACATCAACCTCACCAAAAAGTTTAAGAAGTTGAACAATCACTAACTCACAAGTAGGAAATAGCCACAGCACCCCATGTCCCCCAAGCCACAGATGAAAGAGACAAAACTCTTCAGAATTAACATACAAGAATACAACTAAGAAAGAACAACAAAGCTCCCAGCATAAAACAACAAAAGAACCCCCATCTAGAAAGAATAAAAACCAAAACCAACCAAACCACCCAATCCAACCAAGAAAACTAGCCAATCCAGTTTAAGAAATGATGAACAAAACTGCGAGGAAAGCACCAAACCAAAGTCCCAATAATATAGAAAGGCAACATGCCCAGGTAAAGAAACCAGCTTAGCAAAGCCAATTAAACCCCGGCTAACACAACTGCAGATCCTCATCCAACTGAGACTAGAAAAAGTAGAGATAGAGTGGATCCAGGAAATAACCTCCATCAAAGGCACTACAAGACACACAGGAGGTAAGACCAAGTACCAAAACCTGCTTCACAAAAAACAACAACCAGACAACCAAGCAAAGCCTCAAGAAAGAAGCAACGTCCTTTAATAGACGTGGAACAAAGCTACAACACTGAGAACCAATTAACCACATAACAACAAAATAAGGGAAATAACAAGGTAAGGCCACACTAGCACCCCCAAAAGTAGTTATAATAAGACTAAAAAAATTGAGCATTCTGGGATTCACAAACCCAGATCAAGAAGCAAGGTAGAAACCCAAATAGAAACAGAGTAGTAGGAAAAAACAACACCACATGTAAAATAACTAGCACACAAATAGAGAGCTAGCCCCCAAAACCAAGGAAAAAATTGGCATAGGCTCCAACCAATAGCAAACATTAAATTCTAACAAAGGGCATATATATTTTATGTAATCTTAAAATCCCTTTCAGTGGAGCAGAGAGATTAGTGCCAGCCAAATAAGAAAAACAATCCAAAATACACCCCAAATTAGTAAGCCAAGTAGCACAAGAATTTCTATCCTTGTAAACATAATAAAAAGAATAGTTCATAAAAATTAACAAGTTCTTAATATCTTTCACCATATAAAAAAGACCACGATTACACATCGTATCAACAACAGAATTTAAAAACAGAAAACTACAATTGGAATCAACTTGAATACCAATGTTAGTTAAGTAAAGAGAAATTATTAATCTTAAGCCATGGAGAATAGCCGAGATGAAAACTTAGTTCACATCACAATTTTGTAAAAGGACCAACAAAAGCCATAATTAAAGAACCATTACTATCCCTGATAAAATCACCACATCCCGAAGAGGACCCAATGGTAGCACCATTCACATTTGGCTTAGAAGAGTTATTTGGGGGTTTGGTCCAATAAATAAACCTATGTTTATTGGAAAGATGATCAATCTCTCACATAATACCTAAATAAAACACAATAAAAGGATAATTTTTAAAATTGTTGGCACAGAGCAGCTTAACAGAATAAAGAGCCAAAACCTTGTCTTTCAAATTCTAAATAATCATAGGATGGCTCATACTTACTTCTATTAGAAAGAGAAATATTCCTATCCAACCATTAATACCACAAAATGAGACAAAGAATAATTTTTCTAATATGGACTTTAGTTTTAGTATAGCATTAATAGGCAATTTTACATTAAAATCATTCAATTGAAAGATGTCATCAAAATAAACCCATATTTTAACAGCTAAAGGGCCATAGATAAAAACATGGTGCATATCCTCCACATGATAACAATATTGGCACTTGGACGACAAAATAAAACCAATTTTAATTAAGTTATCATCCATAGGAATGAACTTAAGCAAAATTCTTCAGACATAAACAAACACAATGGAAAGAATACTTTTATTCCAAACCATAGAGAAAATATTAGTAACCTCCTTCTTAGATCTAAAGGCATGCCAAGCAACCGTTAATCTAAAACCACCATCTTTGGACAAATCACATTAAAGTAAATCATCAGAGTCAGTGTTCAGGGAAAGGTTTAAAATTTGTTGAATAATAGAGTCAAGAATAATATTAGCAAGTTTATCATAGTCCCAAAAATTATCCGTAATGAAATATTTCACCTTAATAGCCGCAGTGGAAGAGGAGTTAATAATATAATAAATAAAGTGATCACCCATCCAACGATCTTGCCAAAAGAAAATGTTACCACCACCAAGCCCCCAAGAGATGAAGGGCTCAACAGCCCATTTAACTTTGCAAAATCTCTGCCACACTTTAGAAACACCTTTGTTAAAATAATAAGTAGTCGGATGTTTACCCACATAATACTTAGCAAACATAAAATTAGCCCAAAGGATCACTTTAGCATGAAAGTTATACGACAACTTGAAAAAAAAAAAAAGCATAGGACAAATCATTCATACTCTTACACCCCAAAGCCCCCTCTTCCAGCACACCATAACACTCAAGAGGGCCAGATAAATTTCAAATTTCTACTAGCCACTTTCTAGAGAAATTTATTAAAAAGTTTATCCTATTGCAAACTGATTGAGTAAGAAGGAAAGTTTGAAAAATATAAACAAGCAAAGAATAAAGGACACTTATGAGGAGAATTATTCTACCACAAAAACTAAAAAAATTTGAATTCCAAGACAAAAGCTTGTTTTGAACTAAAGTAATTAAATCATAAAAAAAAAACATTTCTTTCTACATTTTCAAAGAGGCACCCCAAGGTACTTAATTAGCAAGTGACCATGCACAAAACCAATTAAATCTTTAATAGAAACTAAATCAACACTTATGTTTACTCAGTGAGAGATAACTAAACATTTCAAATTGATGAAAAAAACTCATAATTTTATTAATCCTTTTAATAGAAGCATTCATAAAAACAATAAAGTCATCAACAAAATAACGGGTGAGAGAAGAGAGAGAAGCTCCACAAATTAAGGAAGAAATTTGAAGAAGATTTTGAAAAATTCGGGTGCCATTGTTGGAGATGGAAGAAGGTGGCCGGTCATCCAAGGATGCGAACACCAAAAATTTGCTTTCTACCGTGAGTCCAATCATGTTGGATTCAAATGGTAGATTCTCCTTCAAACGAATTTCTTCTTTTCAGATTTTGGAATCTTCTTTAGTCATAAAAGAGGAAGGTTTAAATGCTATGAAGAAACCTTTGCCGATTTCAGGCAAAGGGAAGGAAATAATTTCATTTTTAAATGATAAGCCAAAACCTCTGTCGGCTATCATTGCTGGAGCAAATAATAAGGAAGCATCTTCTTCAGGAGGAAGTTTTGATGATATTTTCAAGAAGGATCCTATTACTTCTTTAAAATTGGATACAACTAATGTGTGGATTAAAAAACCTCACATTAAAATAAATCTTAGTAAAATACATTATGATATTGGAGATGAATATGTTGTCATTCTTGACAAGGATAAGGAAAAGTCTAATGTTCAAATTTTGAAAAATTCCTTGGTTGTTAAAATCCTTAGAAAAAGTTATCCTTTTTCTAAGTGTTCATTTGAATTAAGAAAGCAATGGTCAAAATTTGGAGGATTTCATATTACATTGCTTGGTCTAGATTGGCTCCTTTGTTCATTTCAATTTCATGAAGCCATGGAGGAAGTCCTTAACGGGGGTCCTTGGCTTGTAGGGGGTTTTGTGGTAGGCTTAGACAATTGGTCTCCTACCTTCTCTCCTTATTCTTTAAATGGAATTTCTTCTCCAATTTGGGTTTGTCTTCCTCATTTGCAATTACACTGTTGGGATGAATCCAATATCATTAGAATTGGAGCTCCACTTTTATTGGATGGTAACATGTTTAGATGGGGGAGAAGGGAGTTTGCTAGAGCTTGCATCCGAGTAAATTTGAATTCTAAACTCCCCTCTGGAATTTGGTGAAAGTTCGTTCGGGATGTTAAGCCCTATGAACTTAGTCCCAAGCTAACCAAGAGGGGGGGTGAATTGGTATTTTAAAAATTCTTGAGACAAAGAAATAAATTCACAAACCAAATCACACCACCAAACCAAATACGAAATTTAAAAGTGCGGAAGCAAAAATAAGAACACAAGATTTATAGTGGTTCGGTCGACTAGACCTACGTCCACTCCTTGGAGGCACCCTCCAAGTATTGCACTACAAAACATGACTCTCCTTTAGCCCCCACAGTTAGGCGGAGAAGCCGAACATGCTCTAATACAACCTTCTTCTTTTACGTGTCTTGTGAGGTGATCTTTTGGAGAGAAAAGGGGAAGGAACATTGGAGCACTAGGCAAAGGAGCATGGACAGTCGGATCCGAGCATCAGTCGCCCCCATTCAGTCTGGTGGGGGCGTGATCGGCGGAACCACCGAGTCATAGCCCCCGGTGCTGTAAATCTCCTTGAACTTAGAAAACCTTTAGAGGCCCTCTTGGTTGTACGCTCCCTACCCTTTAGGATTTTGTAGAAACTTCATTTTATAACTAGGATTGCTTGTTTTATTTTAGATCCCTAAACCTATTGACATATGTACGAACGTTCTAAGGGTTAGTAACGAAACTTCTTTTTTATCCCACTACTTTAGTGACACATAAGGACACAAATTAAGGACCGAGTCTTAGATAATATAGAATTAGGGTGCATGTTCCTTTTAGGATAGAGACTTTAAAACATAAAAAACTTAGTGACACATTTTCTTAGGATTCGTGTCTTGGTTTATTAATGACTAATCAATAAGATCAGTAATAATCTAAGTTAAAAAAAAAATACTTAACCCATCTTAGATTTAGGGTTCAAGGCTACTGCATCGGGTGTCTCGTAGTATGCCTAAATAGCGGGTAGGTCCCTTCTCTTCAGGGACTACAAATCCTGCTTATCCGCGTTGCGTAGATGACGCCACTTCTATCCTCTCTCTCTGTATGTTTTGAGTGCATGATTTTCTTTTCCTCTTCAACTGCCTCAGTCCCTCCGAGTGTGGATGTGAACCGTGCATGTTGACTAAGCCACTTGAGCCACTTCTTTCCTTTTGAGTAGGAATTTCCTAGTCTCCCTTGTGTGCCAATCCCTTTTTAAGAAGAATAATATTGGATCCTTAATCGAGAGTTTTCTCGGGCCTTAGGCTCGAGATGTAATTAACCGCGGGGGCTTGCATCTGTGAGAAACGGAATTCCACAACAAATAAACCCCACTCGAGCTGTTGTATCGGGTGGGGGAAACCCGTGACTGTGATCAGGTCATGTATATTACTACCCATCGAGATGTGCTGGTGAGAGCCGCTATCCTCCATGGTTAGTTGTATGCACGATCCAATCTGTCCCTTCCAATTGACCCGTTCGCGCGTTGTTCTTTCGGAGGTCCACACTCCTCTACTACCAATTTTTACTTCCTTTATGTTATTTGCAGTATACCTTCTTCCTTTTTGATATTTTGTTTAATAGAGTAGTAAAACTAGTATGGCAAGGATATATGTATGGATGGAGGAGAATTAAGATAGAAAGACAAAATATACTCTCATTTAGCTTACTGTTCAATTAGTTTTCTTATTTTTTTTATTCCTCCCCGAATTTTTTCAGTTGTAGCTGTTGCATCATATTATCCTTGATATACTTGCAGTGTCATTCAAATTTTCAAAAATTGTGTTGTTCTTAATTCTTAGTTTATTAGCTTTTTTTATATATGTCTTAAGCAGGGGGATTCCCTATATGATGATGATCAAAAGGTTCAGAGTTCAAAATGCGAAGCACTCATTTGGATTGTAAGTGATACTATTTGAATGTAATTATTATGGTGTTCCTATCATGTCATATGATAAAATTTGACTAATATTTCACTCCATTGATTGTCTACTCATCAAATGGGTTTCTTTGACTAATTTGCATCATATCAACTTATATTTTTTATTTAACCTTAAAGTATATACATTTCTTTTGCAACCAAAGAATCCCTAATAAAACAGGCGCAACTTATCCAGAGTCGTGGAAATGACCTTTACTACACTTTAATTTCTTGAGTTTGTTCTTATCTCACTCCATTTTATGCTACAAGAATGAGTAATTTTGGAAGGGAGGAAAGAAAATTGATAATTTAATCTACTATTGTATTCCCAACTTCATTATTTTATGTTGTTTTGGTTGGGGGGTCTTTTGAAGCAGGGAAAATACCAGTAGCTTTTTAGTGTGATTTTTCTCATATCATAGAGCAAGTAGCTGAGCATGCAAAATGCCATTATATTTGATATGAAAGTCAAAATTGTAAGGTTTATTAGCTCAAATTTATAGCTTGGTTTCATAGATATTTCTCTTGGAGTTACAATTGGTTCATCTACACATATATGCATATTTTGGGTTTGTGCATAAGTTTCTTTACTCAATTTTCTGAAAAATTTTCTTTTAGGTTTGCTTATGTCTACAATTTGCTTATACAATTATGTTATTTTTAGATTGACCCAAATAGACTTAACATTGAGAAGAACTTAAAGAGTTTAATTTGATTTGAAATAAATAAATAAATTCTAATCTACTTGAAGTCAACTTAAATTTGATTTTTAATTTGATGTTCGATAAATAATTGGGCTAAACTTAAAATTTGATTACCAGTTCAAGAGAATAAAAATTTGTTCATAACTTGCTTCAAACAACCATAATGTCATTGATGTGTGCATATATAAACAAAGGTATCTAACACCGGGTGGATCTATATGGATTGGTTCAACCAATCAAACCCACCACCTCTCTAGTGTTCTATATCTAAGTATGTGCCCTTGTAAGTAACCAATAACTATTTATATAAATAACTAGTATTTGTAATAAAGGGGCGAAGAAGATAATAAATGTTTTGTGTTTAGTTTTTGGGTGTCCTGTATCCTGATAACTTCAAGTGGTGTTACCGATCAAAGATACCCATTCTTGGGTATTACTTTGAGTTATGATCCCTGCAGCTCGTGCTTTGCATGTCTCTCATCTCTTTTGAGTTGTGACTACCCCTCCTTGTTTTTTGTAATTGGATATTAGAACCTTCTAAGATTTCTCCTCGATAAAATAAATTGTGACCCAATCTAGAAGCGATGATTGAAGATATGCATAAGGAGATTGCTCAATTACAACTCCTCATAAGATTTGAGTGATGGGAGGCCATGGGTAGTTGTGATTCAAGAAGTGAACCCATTCATATTACCATGCTACTTACTCCCACATGCATCTGAAAGCCTAATCTTATGATCCAAGCATCCCAATCTCATGATCCTGACTCTCGAACCCCATAACTAGGCACCCTATAATACCCTTGTGTCATCTGTCCAAATATAAGATTCAACTCACATATAGGTATGATGCCATCCATGTGACATTATTTATGCCCCTGCTCGTGTGCCCAACCTCCATCCTATTTTTCTCTACGTGCTACCCGCTTCTAACTCGCTTCCACTCTGTGTGTGTGGTTTAGCTACCCGTGTCCTCCCATGTGTGTATCACTGGTCACTCGTGCCCTTGGGCATCTGAATCGATCTTTCTATGGCTTCATCTAGAATGATTTCCCCAACCAAGATCCTTCCTCCATAACTCCCAACCAATTTCTTACTATTGTCCATGCCAACACAAAGGAGTTTATGGACGCACTGGCTGTTATTGCTGATGTTAGCATGGTTGGTCAGTTTGTTGTCAGGTTTGATTCAAAGCTTTAAGGGCATTATTTGAAGGAGCTAATAAAGAAGCTTTCTGATTTTATAAACTATCATTTTTTTTTTTGGACATAGAAAACAACTAAGAAGGAGATTTATGATAATGAAAAGATAAAGAACAAGATCCTTAAGTTCATTAGTAAGTTTCATCAACTTCAATTTATGCTGAAGTCTCTCCTAGATGTGGAGATGACACCAGGTGGATCTATTCAGACTAGTTCATCAAACCAAACCCATCTCCTCTCAATTATTTTGTAGCTGAGTATGTGCCCTTGTAATTAACCAACAACTATCTATATAAATAGCTAGTATGTATAATAAATGGGAGAAGAAGATAATAAATAGTTTGAGTTTGGTTCTTGGAGGTTATGTATCATGAAAACTTCAGGTGGTGTCACCCGCCCAAGATACCCATTCTTGGGTATTGTATTGAGCTGTAATTCCTGTGGCT